CGTCCAGCTCTGCATCGTGCCCATCGGACGACCCTCCTGGTCCTGACGCCATGATGTTGCCTTCACCAACCCAGCGCGGAAACTGCCGCTTCTGCTGTAAAAATGTCGCAAACACCTCTACGTCACTCCTCCCACGAGCGCCGCCTCGTGGCCGGTTAAATAGTTTACTCTGGAGCAAAGTGTTGTTTAGTGTTCTGGAAAACACGCACACAAAAGCACAAATGTTTACATGATACTTCCTGTATTTTATTTGTGTTTGTATTAGAATTTATGTGAGTTTTTAAATGTTTTCTATTTAATTGTGTTCCCCTCCTTTTTGTCATTATCCCAGCTTCACCTCATTGATCTTATTTGTCCATTGATCTTACAATGGACAAATTCTGTATCTGTAAATGTATACTCATTGATAAGAAACCACACTGATCTGTACATTTAGTCAGTTTAAAACTCGCACATATTAAACTACAGTTGTTTTATTTGAGAGTTCTGATAGAGAAGTATAGAGAAGATTAGAAGGACTTGGACTGTGAATCTAGCCAAAGTGTGTGATAGAATGAAGTCAGGAGTGGCAGAGAAGTGTGAGGGCGGTGCGGGACACGTGTGAGGACAGTGAGACAGTGGTGATGTATGCAGTTTAATTGATAGATGGGTTCAAGGTGGACAGGTTGGCAGATGAGGTCAGCCTGGAGTCTCTGTGGAGTCGACGTTGGTGGCTCATATTGTGATCTATATTGAGAGCAGGCAGCAGGTGGAAGAGAGCCTGGAGAGATGGAGGTTTGCAATGGAAAGAAGAAGAATGAAAATACGTAAAAGGCAAGATAGATTACATGTGTTTGAATGAGAGGGAGACAGGTGTAAGAGTGAAGCTGCAAGAAGCGGTGATAGTAAAGGTAGTTGATTTTAAATACGTTGCGTAAACCATCCAAAGTAATGGATGGTGCACACGAGAGGTGAAGAAGAGAGTGCAGGCAGAGAGGAGTGGGTGCAGCCAAGTATCAGGGGTGATGTATGATAGAAGGCCAGCAGCCAGAGTGAAATACAATTTTAAGGCTTACAAGATGGCCTGCTATGATGCCATCTTAGAGATCATGGCGCCATCACTGGAAATGGTTACATCAGAGGGGCAGCTCAGGTTGAATGGCTTGGAGACAAAGTTAGTAAGGAAAGGCTGAAATGGCTGGATCATGCAAAGAAGATGGATAGTAGATATACTGATATGCATACATTTGACAAAGGGTGTTGAAGATGGAGCTGCCAGACAGAAAGATTTATCAAGACATCACATATTTGCAAAAATGCGCCGAAGTTTTTGGAGACGTCCATTTTTTGTCATGCTTTGTGGCAGCTTTTGAACATCTGTGACATCTATTAATGTCAAATCTAGCCTTTATTTAACAACATAAGCAAACTCTATGTTACAATAATTGCACAGCCATTAAGGATCAAATCAGTTTCTGAAAAATGTTCTGTTTTTTCTCCCTCTGCTTGCTTCTTACTGTCTTTGAG